TTTCCTGCTTATGCAGGGGGTTGGACTCGATGATCTATTGAGGTCCCTTCCGACCCTAACATCTATGAATCTATGAATCCAGGAGAGCTTCTTTTCCAATGAAGCAAATAGCTTCCCACTTAAAACATACATCCCAATTCTGAGGGGATGTATTTTTGAGGAAAGGTACATGTTGCATGTGAGAAACTATGGTATATGGATAGTAAAATTTTCAGTTTCCCATTTCCCCAATCCCTCAGACCTGAACTGTGCTGATCTGAATGAGGATGAAGTTGTCATTCAGTTCCAAGGGCTATTAATTGTTTTTCACTTCTTTCTGATGTTGCCCCAAAGTGAAAAAAAAAAGGATGATGATATTTTGTGATGTGAATATGAAACAAGACTAGGATCCACCAAGAGACTTCACACGCATCACCAATGTCCATTATGTAGTAGTCATGGTAATCTACCATACCATGGTAAGCCACAAACATTATATAGCTGTAAAAAAACCTAATGTGATCCTACAAAGTATCATTGTGCAGGGCATTAATGAGATGTGATCTGGAAAAAGTATATGATTCAGGTCACTCATGTACAAGAAATATTAATTTGTGCTGGAACAGCAGCAGAAAGTGGCTACTAGGTTGACTGAAGAAATGGAGAGACTTTCATATAAGCCGACACTAAGAGACCCTGGCTTGTTTAGTCTAGCCAAATGAAAGCTAAGAGGGGATTTGATTGCTGTCTCTAAATACCTCACAAGGATAAAGACCAGAGAAGATGAGCCATTTAAGCTAAAGGACAATGTTAGTACAAGAACAAATGGATATAAATTAACTAAATCAATTTAGGCTGGGAATGAAAAGTGTCTAATTCTCAGAGGACTGAAGTTCTACAACAGCCACAGCCTTCCAATAAAATGAGTGGCAAAACAACCTAATAAGGTTTAAAATGGAGTTTGAAACATTTATGAATGGATTACATGACAAGGTTGCCTGTGACAGCCAGGATTGGACTCAGTGACCCAATGGGACAGGGCTTGATGACCCAGGAGGCCTGTAAGACTTTCAATCTCTGTAGCTGAGGCTGGATTTAAGGTATTTTTCTAAGTGAGATCAAGGGTTCAGCTTTTACCAAAGATGCTTGGTTTTTCCTTTGATTTAGTTTCTGAATCACTGGCTACTGTACAACAGCAACAGCTTGTATTTAAGAGTTGCTGAACAGCAGAAAACAGACATTTGTCAATGACATAGTATATACATTTCCTAGGCTTAAAAATGCTGCTTTGAACCTAATTGATTGATCATTGTTTTGTCTGGTTGTCAGTCATTTCGAAGGTTAAATCTGCTTGATATCTTCCTAAAGGTTACACAGGATTTATCCCTTAGGCAGCCTGAAACAGCCCCTAATACCTGTGCTTTGTCTACCTTTTCATCAGAAAACCATTTATTTCAGTGTCTGATTCATGGTATTTAAACTATTATTGCTTTACCTGCATCCTTGCTGACTTCTCCCTTACCACTCTTTCTCTGTTGCATTTTAAAAGCATCTCCACATCCTTCATGCTACTGTGTTTGAGAAGGGGAAAACACAAGAGAAAACATGCATTTAAACAAGAAACCAAAATAGTCTTGAAGCATCACATCAGAGTGCATGAAAATAATCATTTTCAGATGCATATGTGCCGATCCTTCCTGCATTTTGAGCAGACAATGCATCTGTTGCTGTTGAAGATACTCTGTATGAAAATGGACATGATGTAATAGAGGATGCATTGTTGACAGAAAGACTGCCCAAGAAAATTAGGTGCTAACAAAATCATGAAAGTATATTTACAGTGACATTAATTCCTCAATGATTGAAAAATTATATATAGCAGAATCACAGTGTGCACACACACCACTGAAATGCAACCACGTCTGGCACAAATCACAGCAGCTGTTCACTAGGGCATAGTAACTCCACGCAACACTTTAGGACAAGTAGTTAATCCAGTTGAAATATATCCAAATGAAAAATTTGGGCCAGCACAATATAACAATTCAGATTGCTATTTGGCCAAAAGATTGACATCAAAGACCCTATGGCACTTATCATAAGAATAAGGGTGTTAATGACTACAAGAAGTCAAAACCTCTGTTTTATTTCTCATTCAGAAGTGGGGTGAAAAGCTAGGGCATCAGCTCTTATACAGAAAGGGCCCTCTCGACAAAGCCAGAAGTAGTTAACACAAATAGAAATAGACTGTTTTCTTGGGAGGACAGAACATGGCTTGGCAATGGTCATGGATAAACAGACGGCAGGCAGCAGAGCTGTCTGAGATTTGCGGTATTCTTGGAGGGTATTAGAGAACTGCTGATTTATAACATTATAACAAATCATTATCTCAGAAAGAGCACTGTGCCTAAAGATGAGTCCCAAACCACTTATCTATATTTCACTATCTAAAACTTGGAGTTCAGATAAAATGTGACCTAGCTACAAGATGTTTCTCATTTTAGCTTGCAAACTAAAATGCTAATTGCCTCATTTGCCAAACAAAGTCCAGTTTTCTCACCTCTGTTTGAAATATAAATGAGGTAAAATTGTAAGTCTCTCGTGCATCCCCTTTCAAGGTCAGATCAGATGCAAAACAGATATCCTATTGTTTTGGATCTGCAAAATTAAAATTCAACCAATGTAGGCTTTGCAAGACTAACCCCTGTCCTGACTCTGCCCTTTGTTACCCTCCGAATGGATTTATTGCACGTAAGAGTAAAGACAGAAACAGACAATAGATGGTGCGTAAACTGTCTTGACAAACCAACAATAACATGTGGTCAGTTTGATCAGTCAAGGCCAGTTAAAAACATAAATCAGAAAGAAAGAAATATATAAATCAACTAGAACTAGAGGAAGTTCAATGTAGAACACACTGCTCGACCACCAAAGCCTTATCACTTATGTAAAGTTCCATGGAATTTAACAGAAAGAACAAAAATGAATGTCTACAATAATTTCCATAATAATATAATAGGATACTAGATAAATTATTCTAAAAAGCTGCACAATTGCAGAGATGTATATATTCTCTGTATGGGTTGTTGGCCAGGGGTGGCAAAAGTGGGGTGAGGGGGAGGAATTGGACCATTCTGTAATTCTGTATTACAGAGGTTCCCAAACTTTTTCTTATTGTGTACCGCCTTCCAGATTCACCAGCTGCCCACATACCCCTACCAGCATACGTTTTATATTTTAACCCCTTAACTGCTAATTATTATTATAATGAAAATTAAATCCACCATTACACAACATTTCCCAGGTACCCCCCAGGATGTCTTGTGTAACCCCAGGGGTACATGTATCGCAGTTTGGGACCCCCCATTGTATTGCATTTTATAGAATGCTTTATAATATTCCTTACAGAAATGGATACTGGTTTCTATGCGATTTTTCCATATGGTAACTCTAGTGTGACTTGTACATTAATAACAAACAAACAACGTTCCTGCTTTGTAATGATAAAATCAAATCAAATTCCAGCAAGTTAATATCCTTTTTACTTGAAAAAGCAAGAAATGATTGAAATTGAGCCCCAAAATTAAATGCCTAGTCTTTTAAACACTGGTTTACTCTAACAATTATGAAATAAAGAAAGCAGGAAAAAAAGAAAAACCAGGAGAGGTCACCCAAATTACAGGGATCAAATTGTTTATTCCACAGAACCCACTATAATAGGCCATACTGCATATAAGAGAACATGCAGATGGTATAACCACTCCAGTAGCAAACTAAGTGTAAATTTATCTTTTCAGTTTAGTAAATGTTTTCTAGCCAAAATTTACTTCTCTAATGCTTAGAAACCTTTATTTTTTAATTTCTAGCCTAAATTTATTCATAGCAAGTTAATACTCATTTGTTCTTGTGTTGACATTGTCTTTTTGCTTAAATACTTAAGTCCCATTGAAATCCCTGTGAGTTAGATACATGCTTAAGAGCTGTGCTAAATCAGGTCCCTCATTATTAAGAAAGGGAAACAATTAAAAACCTAGCTTACTTTTGTAAATAGACTTTGTGTTACTGCAATGCAGTATCCTCGTTTTGTTTGCAGTTGATGTTTCTTTTTAAATATCTGCTAAATGTGTTTGTGAAATGAGTTAAATAAGCTTTCTATAGTTTAATATTTTAGTGCTTCACTTTTATAAGTAAAGATTTTTTGAGCTTCGTTTCAACTATTTACTTTTTTTTTTTTTTTTTGCAATTTGCAGAATTGCCAAATTGTCTTACATTTCCCCCTACTATTTCTGAAGCCCTTTCAAGTTTCTTGTATACAGCCAGATTGTAGGGGAGTTGTGTCAGGTTTCTCTTTTCTACAGCCATAGGGACAAGTGTTTCCTCACTTTCCCTGCCTGTTTCCCTGGCTTCCCTTGCTAGGTCCTGTTCCTTTTATTCAGCTTGTATGTGTTCTTTACACCAGGAAGCAATTACAGTAAAGTATAATAAGAAGGCAGCACATAAGGAGTGAATGTTGGCCCTCTTGCCCCAATTCTTTCTACTCACACTCTCCTTGAAATGGTCCCACCTCAACTTCAAACCTTTCTTTCC